ACAGGAGCAGTGTGAGCCAAGGCTGGGCACGGTGCCCAAGGAGCCCTATGGCCCAGTGCTGTCCCTGCTGTGCTGGGGTTAGGTCCTTGGCCAAGGGGCTTGGGACAGTCCCTGCTGCCCAGGCAGGTGTTTGTCTGGGGCTCGATGCCCTGATGGCTCATGGGTGCCTTTCAGGCCAGTGTCCCCAGCACTGTGTCATGCTGGAGCCATCCCTGCATCCCCACATCCTCCTGTGGTGGGGGGGCTGGCTCCTCCAGGTGCTTAGCTCAGAGTCTGTCAGGGGCAATGGCTGAGGCTGGATGCCCCTCTGGAGCCCTGGACCTCAGGCCAGCGCTCCCTGCTCTGGCTGTGGCTGCTGCATGGACGGGGCCGGTGCTGAGGTGCTGCTGGCACCGCCATGCCCAGCCCCATGGCTGCAGCCTGCGTGGCAGCATGGGATGAGCTCAGAGTTTTATGTAAAAATGTATTCAAGGAGCTATTTACAATGAGCACACTGCCGGCGGGCAAGCTGAGACACGGAGGTGGCTGGGGCAGAGCCCACTCCCACGGCAGACCCCGGGCCAGGGCAGTCGGGCTGGCAACCGGTACGTGGCCAGAGTGAGCCCGGCATCAGGCAGGGATGAGCCAGGACCGGTGTCCTCGGGAGCGCCCACCGCCTGGGTCCCAGCAAGCTCTCAGATGCCGCCATCTCCTGGGCCAGGGGCTCAGGGGAGGCCAGCGAGGCCAGGACACAGGCACAGGGCATGGCGGGGAGCAGCCCCGGCTGCAGGGTGCCAGGCACAGTCTGTCCCAGCAGGGACTACGTGGAGACGCTGATGCGCTGCGGGGCACGTCGTCGCCGCAGGACGCGCAGGGCCGGGCTGCTGCGCCGGTGCTGGGGGGAGCCCCGGAGGCAGAGGGGGCTCAGCAGCAGCCACAGGTAGAGCAGGACGCAGGCCCAGCAGGAGGACACCTTCACCCAGAAGGTGGACCAGCTGCCGTGTGTGAAGGTGGTCTCCAGCACTGCGTTCTCGTAGCTGGTGGGAGAGGGCAGGCATTGGGTGCCTGGGGGACGCCCACACGAGGGATCTCAGCCCCTGCTGCAGCCACCAGATCACCCTGTGTCCCAGCAGCCGTGTTTCCCTGGGCTTGTACCGCCTGCCATGAAGCCCCACAGCCCAGCTCACGTGGGGAGCACCTTGGGGATGCGGGGTGGTGACGAGGCTGGGGGGGCTGCAGTCCCAGCTGGGCAACAGGGAAGGGGAGGGAAAGCCAAGGAGGGCTGGGGCCCTACCTGAACCAGTTGGTGAGGGTCATCATGACGTAGAGCGAGGCGAGGAAGAAGACAAAGTGGAAGGCTGAGTAGCTGTAGACCACACGGTCTCGCTCGTCCTGGACCACGCATTGTCCCCTGTCGGTCTCCTCCCCTTGCTCACATGTCTGCTCGGCACCTGGGAGAGCACAGGGGGGGCCTGGCTCCTGCACCCCCTCCTCGCCAGCACCCCCACCTGGGACACAGGCGCCTGAGGGCATGTGTCCATCCTGCACCTACCTCTCAGCTCCTCCTCCATCTTCTCAGGGCAGCAAAAGCAGCAGGAGGGTTTCTGCAGGGAGAGAAGTGTGTCCCAGGAGCCGACGCAGGTGGGGATGTGCCATAGGAAGCCCCAGATCCTTGTGCTTGGCTGGACAAACCTGCCCCAGGCCCAGTCCTGTGCCTGGGGCAGGTTTGTCCAGCCAAGCACAAGGATCTGGGGCTCAGGAGGGCTTGAGGTGGCAGATCTGGGGTACAGGAGGACACAGGGCACAGATGTGGGAGGGGTAGCACTGTACTCACTTTAAACTCAAAGCTGTAGACTTTGACCATCCAGAGGGGGCCGAAGACCTCGGCGAGGTAGGAGGCTTCATTGCTGTGCCCATGAGAGAAGTAGAAAGTGTAAGGAAGGCACCTACAGCCCTGCGTCAGGCCCCCAGCCCACCCCATAGTCCTGACACAGCCACCAGAAACCTGCTGTGCCTGGGGTCACTGCACTGCCCCTGCCCAGCTGCAGATGCCCAGCCTGCTCTGGTCCTGCCGTCCCTCAGGACATCATAAAGTCGTAGAATTGTCTGGGTTGGAAGGAACCTTTCAGATCATTGAGTCCAACCATCAACCCAACACTGGGTCCAACACATCAACCAACACATCAACCCAAGGGCAGGACCCGGCCCTTGGCCTTGCTGAACTTTACACTATTGGCCTCAGCCCATTGATCCACCACCCACCATGACTCCACTGGCCATGCCACCGGCAGAAACAGTGTCCCCATAGGGCTCCTGTCAGGCTGGCCATGCCCAGAAGGGACAGTGCCCACACGGGGTAGGGGGCACACGCACCATGCGAAGAGCACGCAGGCGTACATGATGGTGGCCCCCAGCACGGCGACGGTGGTGTCCTCTGTCTGCAGCTCATCCTGCCGGATGCCCGGGAAGCAGACGGTGAGGTTCTGCCCCTTGTAGAGCACTGTGAGGGAGATGGAGGTAAGATGGGTGCACAATCCAGCAGGGAGGGTTGCCAGGGGTAGGGAGGGGGCACCCACCTCTCTCCGGGGGGCGGCTGGACAGTGCGGAGAAGGTGAGGTACATCACGTAGCAGCTAATGATTGAGGACTGCAGCAGCCCCGACCGCGGCTGCTCTGCAGGGGTGGGGGCAGAGGTGTCACCAGAGCACCAGGAGCTGGCGGGCTCTGCCTGGGCCCTGGGCAGCCCACTCCCACCACTCCCCCCCATTGCCCTGTGCCGAGGCACAGGAGTGACCACCGGGAGCTGGGTCTTCCCCAGGTGCCCATGTGCTTGCCCTGAGCTGGCAGCTCATAGCCAACCCCCCCCGCAGCATGGTGGCCCGTGCCGTGCCGTACTCACTGAGCCGCACGCAGGGCGTGATGGAGATGAAGGACATGATGCCGCAGAGGCTGCCATTCAGGGCGAGCAGCACCTTGTTGAGGTGGCAGGCAGCCGGGTGGGTGTAGAACTTGTAGAGGAAGGAGAAGGCGGCAGAGGCGAGGGTGTAGAAGGCAGCGGTGGCCATCAGCACGGCCAGGTACCAGCGCTTGTCCTGTGCGGCGCCCGTCAGCCTGCCGGGAGCGTGGATGGGAGCCGGGAGCATGGGTGAGAGCCAGCAGCAGGCGGGTGCCCCCCCAGCCCCCTAGCACTCACCAGTTCTTGTTCCAGGTGTGGGCGAAGGCGGTGATGAGCACCAGCTGGATGAGGATGAAGGCAAAGCCCCCGCAGACTCCCGTGTAGTGCCAGGCTGGGGGGAGAGGGAAGTGTGGGGCTGTCACGGGGCACCCGGGGACCACAGGGTGCCAGCTCGGGCAGGGTAGGGGGCACACCTTGGATGAAGCCGTCCTCGGGGATGAAGAAGCTGGCAGCACAGAGCGCCACCAGCACCAGAAGCTTCAGGAACCAGAACCTGCGGGGCAGCAGGCGTCAGGGAGTCAGGACCCCTATCAGCCCCCACCACTCGGCAACCCCCCTGTCCCCGTACCCGTTGTGGATCTGAGCGCGGCAGTCAGTGCTGGAGCGCACGTTGAGGAGCAGGGCAGCCTGTGCCAGGTGGAAGCAGGAGGTGCCGAAGCAGACCCGGTAGACGGCCGAGGAGCCCACCAGCCGCTCGCAGTCCGAGCCCCCAGGCAGGTGTTCGCACAGGACAGCCGAGAAGGGCACCTGCAGGTGCGTCGAACGGTGGGACGGGGCTGCTGGTGTGCCCAGCAAACCTCAGCACCCACGGCACCCAGCACCCCTGGGCTCCTGACACCCCCAGCATTCCCAGTACTTTCTCCAACTCCTGTACTCCTGGGACCCCCGGCACCCCCAGTGCACTGGCCAAGTCCTGCATCTTCAGTACCCCTGGCACCCCTTCCCCCTTGGCTCCTCCAGAGACCTTGACATTCCCAGCAGCCCTGTTACCCCTAGTACTCCTGGTTCCCCCGGCAATTGTGGTACCCCCAGTGCTCTTGAGACCCCTGAGTACCCCTGGGATGTCTGGCACCCCCAGCACTCATGGTTCCAGCTGGGATGGAGTTAATCTTCTTGCTAGAGCTGGTGTAGTGCTGTGTTTTGGGACGAAAGAATGTGTGATAGTGCAGGGGTGGTTTTGATTGTTGCTGGGCTCTCAAAGCTGCCTCTGCTCCTCAGACCGCCTCACCAGTGAGGGCTGGGGGGGCACAAGAAGTTGGGCGGGGACACAGCTGGGCAGCTGACCCAGCTGATGGAAAGGAATATTCCATCCCATGTGTGTCAGTTTATAAAGCTGGGGAAAGAAGGACGAAAGGAGGGACATTCAAAGTGATGGCGTTTGTCTTCCCGGGTGGGTGTTACGTGCGATGGAGCCCGGCTGTCCTGGGGATGACTGAACACCCGCCTGCGACGGGGAGCAGGGAGTGAATTCCTTGATTTTGCTTTGCTTGTGTGCGTGGCTTTTGCTCTCCCATTAACCTGTCTTTATCTCGGCCCACAACTTTTTCCTCACTTTTACCCCTCTGATTCTCTTCCCCATCACAACTGGGGGGAGCGAGTGAGCGGCTGCGTGGTCCTGGTTGCTGGCTGGGGTTAAACCACGACAGATCTCCAGCACCCCCAGTGCCCCTGGGACCCCTGGTACCCCGGTACCCCCAGCACCCCTGGTGTCTCAGCTCCCACAGTCACCTTCTCCCTGACGGCCTGGGCCACGGTGCGGGACAGCATGAGGCAGCACACGGCAGAGGCCAGGACGTGCAGGAGTGTGTAAAGGATGCGGGTGCCCGTGGAAACGCGAAGCCCACGGCAGGAGCCACAGCCACAGCCGCCGCACAGCTGGGGGGAGCACGGTCAGCAGGGACCCCATCAGGTCAGATCTTCCCCCCAGACCATCCTGGCACCCCCAGCCTGCTCCAGCCCCCCCTCCCCACCAGCCCCCCGGTCCCCGCAGTCCCACCTGGCAGAGCAGCGAGTGCAGGAGGCGGCCGTGTGCCCGTGTGCCCGCCATGGCCCCGCTCAGCTCTTCTTGGCCCCCGCTGCCCTGATGGGATTAGGGGGGATTGTCGGCTTGGCCCGCCCCACCATCTGCTCACCACCACCTCCCAGCAGCCACCATGGCGGTGCTCTGCAGGACGCCTGTCCAGAGCCCACCAGTGACCCCTCGGCCAAGGGGAGCCCTGCCTGGGGCCCTGGCCCCTCACTGGGCAGGATGAGGCTGTGGCAGCCAGCTTGGGCTGGCATGGGCAGCATGTGGGGTGGACTGGTCCCAGAGTGGTGCGGTGAGGCTGGAGGGCATGGGGGTCCCAAAGGGCTGGGGGGGTACAAAGTCACCCATGGGCAGCGAGGCAGCCAAAGGACACAGGGACCCCACGGAGCAGGACGAGGGCAACAAGCACATCCAGCCGGGGAGCGGGGTCTCCCCAGAGCGGGCAGGAGCTGGGGAGAAGCCAGGCCGTGCAGGGGGGGCTGATGCTGCCCTGTGCTGGGTCTGGCTGGGACGGTGTCACCTCCTTCAGCTCCTCCACAGGCGTTCAGGCTGTGTGCTAGAGCAGCCGTGATGAGGGTGTTGGGGCTGTGGCTGCGCAGAGCTCACCCCACCTCAAGGGTCCCCCTTCCCCTGCTCTCCCCCAGGCTGGGCAGGGGGAGGGGACAGAGCCGGGAGAGCTGACCCCAGCCCAAAGGGACACTTCGTGGTGTGAGAAATGGGCTGAGTTTTGCTTCAGCTAATTGATATATTTTTGTTAGTATGTCTGTTTTGTTAGTATGCTCGTGTGTGCGGCTTCTGCTTTATTGAACTCTCCTCATGTCAACCCGTCGGTGTTTCCTCTCTTTCACTCTTACAGTTCTCGCCCCCGTCCCAGCCGGGGGGGGTGGGCGAGCGGCTGCGTGGTCCCGGTTGCGAGCTGGGGCTGAGCCCCGCACGGCGCGGGCCCGGCGGGGATGCGGCAGAGACGGGCGGCGCGGGAGGGAGGCGGTGGCGGCGGACCCCGCTCCCGGGGGGCTCCCGGGGCCGTGCCGCAGCCATGGCCCCCGCCGGCCCGGCGCCGGGAAGCCAGCTCGGCCCCCGCCGGGCCAGCCCCGTCCCTCCCTCGCGTGCGGCCGCGGCGGG